GTTGATTGCGATTTCACTTTTTTAACGTTAGCTAGTGTGTAATGTTGCAGTTTGAGCATAAACAATATCTGTAAAGTTACGACGCTGAAAGTTAAATGCAAACGAAGATATCGCCTTTTAAAATTATGGCAGTTTAATGCCTACAAAAACGGCTCGTAGGGACTACAATGAGTTACTTCCCAGGTTTGTGACGTCACAAACCCTGATAAACCTCACCCCCGAAAACAATCAACAAAGGGGGGAGGCGGCTGCTTGTTGCCATGCCGTCAAAACTAGGGGTGCACGAAAAAATATATTCATATATGAATTGCACAGTTTGCCATTCATCTCAGACTGAAGAGACCAGAATTGATTTTGAAGATCAGTAGATTTGATTTTTTCTGAAGTGGCCAGTGCAACGTCTGCCTTTTTTTGGGCCTGTGTGTAAGCTTCTTCCAGTGCTTGTAGGCGCTCTTCGAAAACACCCAAATTGGCAATCTAGATATATAAACAAAATATTTTCATTGCAATAAAGTTCAATTATTAATTTGATCAATATGCAGCATTTCACCAATTCAGACATGTATTGAGCCTAAGCACTTTTATGTCCATCTACAATTGCAGTTCGCATCTGAAAATTCATCAATCATACATTAAATCTACAGTGTTGTAGTAATTAATTTATCATTTCACACAAGGCCACTGTGAATAATTCAGGATTTTAAAAATACACCAAATGTATACGTTTGTTCATGACATGCTCTCGTCAGTGGTGTTGACAGCTCTACACTAGCAATGAGTTCTATGATTCAGTTGATTCAGAAGAGGAAAGTATTATAAAAACAATGATGGCATTGATCTTTGTATTAGGTAGTTATCAAAGAAATGTCATTAAAATGCATAAATTAATGTTATCATAATTTGATTATAATCTTAAAGGGGTTGTTGATTGCGATTTCACTTTTTTAACGTTAGTGTGTAATGTTGCTGTTTGAGCATAAACAATATCTGTAAAGTTACGACGCTGAAAGTTAAATGCAAACGAAGATATCACCTTTTAAAATTATGGCAGTTTAATGCCTACAAAAACGGCTCGTAGGGACTACAATGAGTTACTTCCCAGGTTTGTGACGTCACAAACCCTGATAAACCCCACCCCCGAAAACAATCAACAAAGGGGGGAGGCGGCTGCTTTAGAGAAGAAGAGGAAGAGTTGTTGCCATGCCGTCAAAACTAGGGGTGCACGAAAAA